GTGTGTGTGTGTTGTGTGTGTGTGATGTTTGTCTGTACGTGGGTGCATGCATGTTGAGGTCAAAGGACAGCTTTCCTAAGTAGGCTCCTTCCTTCCATTATATGGCTTCCAGGGATCAAACGTAAATTGTCAGTCTGATGATAAGTGCCTTTACCTGCAGAGCCATCTCTCCAGCCTGGATTTTTTTTTTCTCTAGTCAACATAATTTTCTTGAAAACCAACAAAGATGCTACAAGTGGCAAAAGCTCTTTCCTTTTTTGCTGCTGAGTAGTATTCCATGGAATAGATTTACCAATGTGCTTAAAACACATCCACTAAAGGACGGCTAGGAGAGGTGGTTTCCCACTTGGGGCTTTTAGAAATGAAGCCTCTATGAACAAGTATGTAGAAGTTTTGTCTGATTATTACATTGATTTCTCTAGGATAAATGGCCAAGGGCATAGCTCCTGGTCTTCTTTAGGTGTTGAGTTACGTGAGAGCTGCCATATCTCTTCCATGGTGACTTTGTGTGTGGTGTGCACACTGACAAGGTGTAAGTGCGGACAGTCTGGTTGCTCTGCATCCTCGCCAGCTGTCAGCACTGCTGTTCATTTTTGCTTTAGCAGTTCTGACAAATGCTGTTTTATTTTGGTTTTCCTTTGCATTTCCCTAATGACTGACGATGCTGTGCATCCTTTCGTGTCTATTTGCCACACGTGCATTGCTTTTAGTAAACTGTCTGGTCATGTATTTTGCCAGTTTTCCCATTGGTTTGATGTTTGTGGCAGTTTGTTTGTTTTTCTTTCTTTTTTTCCTTTTTTCAGTTTTTTGAGGCAGGGTTTCTCTGTGTTAACTGCCTGACTGTCCTGGACCAGGCTGGCCTCGAGCTCACAGAGATCCACCTGCCTCTGACTCCCAAGAACTGAGATTAAAGGCATGCACCACCACTATTTGACTGTTTTTTTTTTATTTTTATTTAATTTAATTTTTTTTTTGAGGCAAAGTCTCACTATATAACCCAGGCTAGTCTGGAACTTATGACATAATACAAACTGGCCTTAAACTCACAATCCTGGCACAGGCTCCTGAGTGGGCTTATAAGTGTGTGCTTATCTGGGTGACTGAGTTTTAACTGTTGGGTATTGTGAATTCTTTGTTGGGTATATAGTTTACAAATATTTTCTTCGAGTCTGAAAGTTTTTCATTTCCTTTATAGTGTTGTCAATAGAGTTTTTAATTTTGATAAGGTTAATAGAGTATTTAATTTTGATAAGTTTGATAAACTTACTAGTTTTTCCTTTATGGGTTGTATTTTGATGTTGGATCTAAAGACTTTTTGCCTAGTCTCAGGTTTCAAAGATTTTCTTTTTCTTCCTAAAAGTTGTATAGTTTTACATTTTACATTTAAGCTGTAAATCCATTTCGAGTTAATTTTTTATGTGATCCAAGTTTATTCATTTGCCTGTGGATAGTCAATTACTTAGATACCATTTTTGAGAAAGCGATTTTTTTTCCTCTATTGGATTACTTTGGCATCTGTCAAAAACTGACTGGGTATATTTATATAAATCTATTTCTGAGCCAAGAACCCAATGGAATTTTAATTCAAATATTGAACTTGGGTGATTGCAAGAAATCAATCCGTATAGAGACTGAATGAAGGCTAGCATGAGAAACGTTTATCAATCAAGCTAATGTTCTCTGTAATTAAATATGACACTGTAAGAAATTGACTGTGAATACTTTGATCATAAGCCCAGGGAAGTGGTTCAAATCAGAAGGAGACAGTGAAACAGTCTCTGACTGTGGAGCCAGGGAGACTGGCTTTTACACTATGTGTCCTGTACTTATTACCTGACTCTGAGCAGGTAAACACGTTAACTAGCTCCTTGGAGCATAGTGGAGATCATATTAGCTTGGCTTAGAACCAGCTTGAGGTCCAATGAGAGGAGACCTGCAAAGTAGTTGACAGAAACTTTTCGTTTTAGTCTTTTTAGTTATTTTATGTGCATGGGTATTTCTCCTGAAGCTATGCCTGTGCATCACCTCTGTGCCTGGTGTCCAAGGACGACAGAGGAAGGTGATGGAGTCGCTGGAACAGGAGTTACAGATATTTGTGAGCTGCCTTGTGGGTGCTGGGACCTTAAACTAGGTCCTCTTAACTGCTGAGCCATTGCTCCAGTCCCTGACTCTAAGTTTGCCTATAGTAACCACAGCACGACAAATTAAAAGTGTGCACCACCTCTGCCTGGCAATTTGAAAGTTTTATCCCATATTCCCTGTTTGCATCCTCTTGAGCATCTGCAAGTGGATGTATTATTCCTTCAATAAGGTAGTGCTTGTGTGTGTGTGTGTGTGTGTGTGTGTGTGTGCATGTTGTAAAAGGAACGGCGATTGTAGATGGAGCTACAGGCTGCTTTTCTTCCCGTCTGGCTCCTGGCCGCCCAGCTAGCTTTACCCAAAATTACACAGAAACTGTATTCATTTAAACACTGCATGGCCCGTTATCTGTAGCCTCTTATTGGCTACCTCTTACATATTGATTAACCCATATCTAATAATCTGTGTAGCACCACGAGGTCGTGGCTTACCGGGAGAGATCCTAACCTGCGTCTGTCTCAGAGAGGAGAGTTATGGCGACTGCCTCACTGCCTTCTTCCTCCCAGCATTCTGTTCTGTCTACTCCACCCACCTATGTTCTGACCTCTCAGGCCAAGCAGTTTCTTTATTAATTAGCCAATGAAAGCAACAGATAGATAGTGGACTCTCCTACATCATATGCATGTGTAGAACTGGGGATTGAACTGAGGGCCTTGTGTATTAAACAGGTGCTCTACCACTGAGCCATCCCCAAAACTAATGCTTTAGAAAAGGGAGGTATCTTAGTGGCTATTGTCTAAGGTTTAAAAGGACCAACAAAACCAAAATGCAGAAACCCTGGTAAATTTCTGCACACCATTCATAGACGTAGTGAGCATGGTTGAACACAAACCAACAAACCATGGGTCAGGCCAAAATCTTGCTCTGCCCTTACCTCTATCCTGTGTTCTTGACCTGAGAGCTAAGAGAGAGGAGGGAGGGAAGGAAGAAATGAATGAAGGAAGGAAGGATGAAAGGAAGAAAGGGTGGGAGGGAGAGGAGAAGGAAGGGAGGAAGGAAGATGCTGTAGAACTGTATATGGTTTACAAAGGCTAAAATACTGATTTTCTGGTTCTTTATAGAAATATTTTGCTGTACTTTGTTGTAGAAGATAAACATAAGGCTCCAAAAGCAGAAACTAGCCAAGTATGGTGGCATACTTCTTTAGTCTCAGCCCTGGGAGGCAGAGGCAGATGGATCTGTGAGTTTGGACCAGCCTAGTCTGCATAACAAGCTCCAAGCCAGTCAAGGCTACATAGTGAGACCTTGTGTCAAAATTGACCAGCCTAACAAAAAGAGAGAATGCTCCCTGGCTAGAGGCCAACAATCGGGATCTAGACACCTATTCATTCATCTAAAGCACAGCTTGAGCTCACGCTGTATATAAGAACATATGCTTACCAAATTATGAAGACAGTATACAACATTTTCAAAGTGGGTTTATAAGTCCCAGGAATTTGTTCTGCAAACTCTACAGTTTTCTTTTTCTGATTGTGGTTTGAGACAGGGCTCCCACTCTGCAGCCCAAGCTGGCCTAGAACTTACTATGTAGGCTGGCGTCAAACTTGTGACACTTTTCTTGCTTTGACCTCACAAGTGCATGGATGACAGCCCTGAGCCACCACGCCCGGCTGTAACTTTTGTGTGATCACGATGTGCACTAGTGTATTAAGGCTCTGGGAAGTTGTGCAACAGTTCTGATAAAGGCAGAGTGTCTCGCACGCCCTTACTCAGCTGGGAAACTCATTTCTTGTTCTCTTCTCCCTCTTTCTCTCCAAGGTCTTCTCTGGCTGTCCTGGAACTCACTATTTAGACCAGGCTGACCTTAAACTCACAGAGATCCATCTGCCTCTGCCTCCTAAGTCCTGCAAATTATGGCCACCATGACAGCTTCTTGTTCTCCTTAGTTTTAAGACTACCTGTATATCATACTCACAAACAAGGGAAATTCAGAAGTTACAAAGCTGGATTGGTTACCTCTTTGCCTAAGACAGAGTCAGTTGATTTCTCTGAGTCTTTGATGAAAATAAGAGACTAATTTCTTTCTCTCTGTCTCTCTCTCTTTCTCTCTCTCTCTCTCTCTCTCTCTCTCTCTCTCTCTTCCTTTCTTTCTTT